CAACCAAAAGCCGCGTTTAGCGTCGGTATCGGGTAGAATTCCACCGCGTGCAAATTTTAGGGACTATATAAACATGTTTCAGCCTTCATTTGAAGCTTTTCCTTCTCTCTCTACTCTCTCTCTAACCTCTCTCCAAAATCCAAAGATTTAGTGTCCAAAACTCAATTTTAAGGCTTCAAATCCTTAAGGCAACTCCCTAGATTTAATCTATAGCATCTTTAGCCTTCAAATTCGAGATTTAAACATGAAATTGGACAATGTATGTGAGTTTACGGCCTAAGAAGATGCTTAGGCCGTAAACACCAAATATGATGGGTTTTGAGCCTTTAAACCCTTCCTTGACTAGTTTGGACCTTGGATATGGCTATGGGACTTTAAAATATGGAATCTAAACATTTAAAACATAATTTTTGTGATGTTTGAAGGAGTTTACGGCCAAGGAACATTCTTGGGCCGTAAACTCATATAATGAGGGTTTTCATGCCCTTAAACCCTTCCAAATCACCCCTATAGCTTAGATATGAATTATAGGACTTTGATTCTTACATTTGGACACTTGAAACATTAATTTTGAGGGACTTATATGAGTTTACGGCCAAGGAGAGTTCTTGGGCCGTAAACTCCACAAAACTTGACATAAATCTCATTCTAAGGTGTTAGAAAGCCATCCAACACCACCAAAGGCCTTGGAATAAATCAAGGGACCAACCAAAAATACTTTGAGGGCCTAAAACACAACATTTATGGGGTTTCTAAGGGTTTACGGCCAAGACATGTTCTTGGGCCGTAAACTCCAAAATTTTTGGTGTTAGAATGCAAACTACACACCCCTAAGGCCCTTAGATGAATTTTAGAAGTCCTTTCATGCAAGTTTTAGACCTTGAAACACCTTGGAGCACCATGTATTAGAGTTTACGGCCATGAATTTTAGAAGTCCTTTCATGGGCCGTAAACTCCACAAACACCTCAAAAATCACATGCAAACTCATGTTAGGACTTGGATTAATTCTACCAATCACATGTGATTTGTTCTAGCACCATTTAACATCATTTTCTTGGAAAAATAGGGGTTTACAGCCATGGAGCTATGCTAGGCCGTAAACTCCCATAAAGAGGGTCAAATTGATGTTTTAAATCATTCCAAGTCCTTAAACCAAGTCTAGAAATTATCCCCTAAGTGTTGGAAGTCCAAAAGGCACCATAAACCACCGATCATGAGTTTACGGTCGTAAACTCATGGGGAAGGGTGTTTTGGCCGTAAACTCCCTTAAAGGGAGTGTTCCTTTGATGTCCCAACTCATCTCCCAAGTCCCTTGTGTCATTCATGTCCCTAAACGCCACCCGGGTCCCACCAAACACTCGTACCGGAGTGTTTTCGAGACTTGAAGCAAGTGTCCCTATCATATGAATAAACTAAGTCCTAATTAGATACAAATGTGTATTTTTACATCATAACTAGGAACCTCGTGTGTTTACAAGTTCCGGATCAACTCTTAGCATCCAAACCGTCTCGTATCTCGTCCGGTGAGTTCATACCCCTACGACTTTTTCACTGTTTTCAATGTTTTCAGGGGGGGAATACAAGCAAACTATAACTGTTCTCCAATCACAACATTGATATGTTTCAAACAATATCTGACAAACTTATAAACTCTTTTACTCCTTATGTAATCTGCTGAGAATAAGGAATGACTACTCGATTTCAACTAAATGGATTTTAGTTAAGGAAACAATCAAACTAATCAAATTATTATGGGAATAATTTGGGGGTCTTTTCTGTTCTTTCTATCGTATACTGATATCTATACCAAGTTATTAGATAAACTATGACTGTTTCAGTTTATCTCCGTATCATTTTAATGTATTGTCAGATAATTTCATGTATGTATATATACTTTACTGTGCTATGTTTCGTAATCTTCTGTATATCGATATCTTACAAGAACCCTGTGAATAGTTTAGTACTAGTTTGTGAGATAGTCACTACCCTTTATGGATGATCAGTAAATCCTCCCCGGAAGTGCAACCAGAGTCTCCTAGAGGGAGAGCGCGGAATTTGTGAATAGATCTATTCGGGACTGACAATCCCACACCTTAACTGCTAGCTACAGTTAGGCGGGCACGCCTAGGGTGACAAATTTCTGGATATCGTTCGACGTTTGACAAACGTCAAGGAGGTCACGTTGTCGTATTAGTATGGTTACCCGACTCACAATATGTATTAATACCAGCTTATTCACAGTTTGGGTTCAGAATCTTTATCTCGTTCGGGATTGTAATCCCATGATATTGTTTCTATGTCTCTTTCGGGATAGTGATCCCATGGTATTATCAAACTATTATATATCTATGTCCTATACGGGATAATGATCCCATGGTTTATTCTTATATCTCTTTCGGGATAGTGATCCTATGGTATTAACTAAACTATTTGGTATCTAGTTCGGGATAGTGATCCCATGGTTTTATGTCTACAACTTGTACGGGATGTCTTTCCCCATGGTCTTTAACTATACTTTATACGGGATAGTGATCCCAAGGTTTCGTATCGATATCTTACGGGATAGTGATCCCATGGTTTTCTAAATCTATATACGGGATAGTGATCTCAAGGTTTTCTAAATCTATATCTTATACGGGATAGTGATCCCATGGTTTCTAAAAATTGTATCTTATTCGGGATAGTGATCCTATGGTTTCAAATCTATATTTACATATATACATTAACTTATCTCGTGTTAGTCCGGGATGAAAGTCCCATGATCTTGAACCTGTACTTTCGAATATCTCAAACTAACTTATATGTCTTTCGGGATAGTGATCCAAAGATTTTCATTATATAGTTTTGTGTGTTAAACTATACTTTGTGATATACCATTGATCTTACAATTAGGAAAATATGGGATTTTCCTGAGGTAAATACAATACATAACCGAATTGGTAACAAATGATAACTTAACCAACTTCACATAAGAAAATATGGGATTTTCTTTGGATAACAAATCTTTTTGGAAACTAAAGGAAACCGATACATTTTCACAAAACAAAACCGCTTATGAACTCACCAGCTTTATGCTGATTTTCAAACCGCTTGTAGTCTCAGGTCCAAGTTAGACAGGTACCCGGTGATCTCTTTTGATGAAGACGGAGTGCGTGGAAGACTCGTCTCAACTTTTGTTAATATGATGCATATGTATATCTTGTATAACTTTACTTTTGAAACACATGTAAACTTTCATATATATGTAATGTAATGTTTGTTTACTGTGATTACCATGTACATTGGAATTGATACACAACTTGGAGTCAACCCCGGAGACGTTTCCGCCTTTGGTTTTCGGGGTGTGACATATGTTAAGTTGTGACATTGTACAAAATTAGAGCCGCCTTCAAAACCAATGAAAAAGAAGCCATTCGATGCTCATCAATGAATATTCAATTGTAATTCACGAGAAACCACACAATCAATTCTTCATCTCTCTTGATGTCGAATGAAGAGATCTTTTCCCAGGATCAATCTATTTTTGTATCAAATAAAATTTGATATCACAATAACAACATTTTTTACTTGATTTTGTCTCATTCTTTGGCAATCAAATTTACTGAAATCCATGAGATTATGGGTCTTACCAACTTGAAACTTAGATTTTGAAAAGAATGGCATATGATTTCACTTCCAAATCCCAAAAGCGAATGAGCCCAGCCTCCATGCCGAAGGATTGGTCTTATCTTGGTGTCAAATCTCATGTTGTACTGGTATAAAGCATGAAACTTGTGATAGTTCTTATCCAATTGGGAACAAAGAAAGATCCAGTGGATGTGACGGTTCAGGATTTTCACAGGAATCAACGAGTACATGATGATCACTTTTATAATGTTGACCTTTTTACGGTGGCGGTTAAGTAGCCAACACAATACATGGCATTTCCTAAATGGTTATTGGTTCAAAATTCAAAAATAACTCCGATTATAAAATGAAGATGATAGGTTCCTAATAGAACTTTATGCTCTTTGATCAAACCTCCAAGAAACCTAATTCTTCATTGTTTCCAACTTACTCCAAAAATTTTCTACAATGGCTGCTCCTCATCCCACTATTGATCCAACAAACACCAATGAAGAAGAAGCCTCACAACCGATGATGAAAATCCAAAACACGATTTTTTTTCTGGTTCCATCACTTAATCAATATCCAGAGGCATTACGGATGCTTGTTCAAACCTTAAACAACTTTGTATTAGCAACTTCCCTTTCTTCTTCATTTGCAATTCTGATGGAATGGATTTCTCTTGCTAGTTCAACTAATAAATTCAACAAGGCTACTAAGGTGGTTACATTTCAATTGTCGAATTCAAAGACCAAAAAGCTCACTTGGAAGCAATTCACCCAAATTCTCAAATTACCAGGTACGCTCTATGAAGTCATGAATGACCAGGTGGTATATATGTTTAATGAAATGGGGAATCAACCAATTCACAATGGAATAAGTCATTTTAAGAAATCTAGTCTTCATTGTTTTTGGAGTTTCCTGTTTGGAATTGTTCTACAATGTTTAACACGATGAAGCTTTGGGCTCGACAAAGCCAAGCTTGAAGTCTAATCAGTCCTTTTTGGATTGTATTATGGTTTGCATATGGATTATGCTACACATGTGTGGGAGGAATTTAAAACTTCTATCTCACACACCAATCTTCTAATGGTGTTTTGAGTGCTCGTTTTTGAAGCTTGATTTTATAGGACGTTTATCGTCAAGAGGATATTTTGGTTCCTTATTATGTTGAAACTGCTTAGTTTCTGGCTATGGCTGCACAAGGATTAATGTTGATGATCCGACTGTTTTTCCTATTGTTGCTCGCATTCCAGATGTGATGCTTAAGCTTGTGGATCCCAAAAATAAGATTCTTGTGCAATACTTGGCTTCGATTGACTATTATTCTACACCAATAGTGGTTCTTCCACAAAAGAGGGTAGAATGACCTTCTAAAGCTTCCAAAGCTCCAATGAAGAAGAAGCAAGTCGAAAAACCACCAAATGTGGAGGAGGAAAATATGAAAGAAACCACCCATTCAAAATCGGGGGTTCTCAAAAGCACGAAGAAACCAACAAAGAAGCCTACCGATTCACCAATCAAGAAACCCATACAAGACTCTGTAATTGAAAGTGTTGAGCCAAAGAATGTCGATTCTTCAAATCCTATTTCTTCTCAAAAGGGTCTAATGAAGATTCGAAGGCCTCAATTTAACAATAAGGGTGTTTTGTTTTGTGAAGTCTCTATTCCTGTTTCACTAGCTTCAAAGAAGCGTCAAGCTCTTGATATGGCTCACAAGTTACAAAAGAATAAATGTAAGATTCCTGTTCTACTTGACAATGTGAAGGTAAAAACTGATCAAGATAGTGATAGTGAAAGGTCATATATTCGCATCGAAGATTCTTTTACTGGATCACCTCAAATGGATTCTCCTATCAAATCAAATTTCGAGGTGACAAGGAATCCTGATGTTAATGTAAACCTTTCTAATATAGACAAAAACATCATTTCAAGTGATCATCAACCAACATCCATCCGTGAGAAGACCTTGGTCTTACTATACTGGGTTTCGCATACCGAGTCCAATACAAAGGAGGTTTGAACTCCAGACATCCTTGTAAACTTATCTGATAAGAACACACATGTCCACAAGATGAAGGGATTGATAACAATAAGTCATCTGTCACTTCTGCCATCAAAACTTCCACTACAACTCATCTACCATCGAAACTTCCACAGTCGAAATTTCAACAGCTTTACCACCAATTTCATCACTCGTTACAACTTCAGTTCCAATTTCAACCATATCACCAACATTTGCTAGTATCATGCATGAACCTATTGTAATTATTTTCTCATCTCAATACACTGAGGCTGAGAAAGTGGTTCACAACGTGAAACCTAATGATGATGATGTAATGGTGTCATTTGTTGATCTTCAATTTGATTATGAGGAGGAGAATATTCCTGATGACTTAATAATGTCAGGTAAACAGTTCAAGATCCTTAACTCGAAAATCAATTCTCTTCTTCAGATACAAGCTGATACTGGAGGAAAGTACTTTGTGGCTGAATTTGAAATGGAATATTTGATGAAAGCTCCAGAAACTCGCTTACGAAACTTGATTGAGGGTATTGAGTAGAAACAAGCAAAAAGGTTAGTGTTTCATTCGAAGAGCAATCACTATGAGATTCAGAAGCTTCGTGACGTTGCAAAGGAATGTCATGAACTCTTTGTCAAGCAAGTGAATACAACGAATGAGTATTTGGATCTCAAAATTTATGAACTCAAATCCTTGTTGTCAAAAGAAGTTCAGAAAATGGAGCAAAACTATACATTATTGCATGGAAAATTCAATGTCATTACGAGTGTTACCACTAAATTGGTTGAGTTCAATTCTAAGTATACAAAAAAGCTTGAAGCCAAGTCAGAAAAGGATACACAATTTTTTGACAAGATGGAATAATTTTTGTCAAGTATCAAGAAGTCTCTTTCTAAGTTTGATCTTTCGAATCAATCGAAAGTATCTCAAGATTATCTTTCTCCGAAGATTTCGAATATCAAGTCCAATGTCAAATCTGAGCTTGCTCCAATCCTTGAGTTGGTCCTTCGTTTGCCAACTAACTCTCCACGTGTAGTGCAAGTGTCACAATGAGTGCTCCATGAGTGCAATCTCTACTAAAATGATGAGTCAAGCCACAATTAAATCAGCCCCCTTTTCATTAAAACTTCTTTCTTGAGTCCTCCCACACTTGGCCTAACGGCCATAGTCCTGATGGCCTCGTGATCGTGAATCTAAAGTCTTGGGCCTCTTCGCCTGACCCACTATTGTTTGTACCTGCTCCGGCTTGCGCTTCATCCAAAGCTACAACTCAATCCCTTGTTCCCAGGCTCTATTTTTCATGGCATCCAAGGTGTTGCCGCTCGTCTTCTTCATTTCCTCATCTACAGTGTACTACCGAACCAACAATGCTCTCTCTCAGAACTTGGATGTGATCTCCTTCATAGTCTCTATAGTCTGGTGTGACATCCCCAATTTCACGGCCAGAAAAGACCGATTTGTTTATGCTTTGTTTTTAAAATCAGAGTAATCTTTTAAAGAAAACAGTTGCGGAATTTGTTCCCAATACAAAATATGATAGGAATCTATCAAAGCATTTCTTTAAAGAAATGTACATTCATTATCTAAAAAAATCTCAGGATGTCATGTTCAATACAAACCAAAAGCATAAACAGAACAAAAATAGACCTTACAACAGTTATTCATAACTATTGGCCTATAATCCAAAATCTCTCGTTATGTCAGCTAACTTATGCTCTCGTACCATAACCTGTACTACAAAGAAAACTGAGAGGGTCAGGCTTGGGAGCCTGGTGAGCATATAGGGTTTTCAACCCATAATAATATAATTATTATATTCAATTATCAAATAATCAATCCAATTACCCACCCCCATTATCTCCATTTATTTCTTAAAGATTTATCCTAAGAACCGATTACCCTTCTCCCATTCATTCCTAAGGATTGCCCTAAGGAACTGGCACAAAGTCTAGTGTTGCCAAGGTTCTTAGATTACCTCTGGTGAACACGCAGTTCACAATAATTAATGAACACCTAGTTCAAGAACACCTAATGAACACTTAGTTCCAATATTACCCAATGTACACCTAGTTCACAAACACTTAATGAACACTTAGTTCATATATCCCTAATGAACACTAAGTTCAAATATCTAATGAACACTTAGTTTGAATATCCCTGGTGAACCCAATCACCTAAGGAACACAGAGTACGAAAGCTCTTAGTTCAAACAATGTGATAATAAAGTATATCTCGATCCTACAAAACCACTAATATTATAAACACATATAAATTATATTTCTAAAACAATATATCCCATCCCGTCGATCCCTACATACTGACCCTATACAATGATCTTACGAGATCTAGCCTAAGGAATCGATATGAACCACAAACTGACGAAGTTGCTTCGGAAATTCCCTGGCAGCAAACGAGGATCAATAAAGGCATCAAATGAGGGTAATGGAATAAGTTTCACCACGAACCTTTTTTTGTAAAAGAAAGAACCGCAAGATATTTTAAGTCAGGGGTAGTTATCTAGATAACAATGCCTAGGTGTGGTCCGAATATCGTGAGGTATTTTACCCCCAGACTCTCCCTGTCCAGCATCAAACTTTGCCTAGCAGTGGCCTGAATATCATGAGATATTTCACCCCCATATGCACCCTATCCAACAATATAACACCAGACATACCTAGCAATGGTCTATTCTCGACACGCTTTAATAGGCAGTCTACGAAGTTCCCTTAATTACTTCGTGAAAGAAAACGCTGGCATAAGCAGTTCGGTCGATCACTTCATAAAAGAAACGCTGACTCCAAAGCTCTCTCAAAATAAAAGTATGGGGAAATACTACTAGAGTACTCTCGTATGCTCCCGTAACCGACACACAAAATTATCAAAAAGACTTTGTACATGATAGTACTTCTGGCACATTATAGTACTCTGGTATGCGAAAGACTCGTACCCGAGAACATAATAGTACCCTGGCACAAGCAGCACCCAAGACATAGAGCTTTGAAAAAGACTTCGTACATAAAATATACTTCTGTACATAGGACGTACTCCACCAATCATCAATCCCACAACACACATACTCTTAATATGAGGTTACCTAATATCCCAACTTAATGGAACTGAACATCCCTATTTAAGTCTTAACCTATCACTAGGCAAGCCTACAATGCATATAATCAATTTCCGATACTATCTCCGTTTGGAAACGCTAACTATGAGTAAACTTAGCACAAAGTTTTAAGTAATAATATCATATATACACATCTTAACACATATTGCACCATAACTAGTTCATACGTTGTATATCATCAATTATATATGTAACACATATTTCGGGCAATAACAAATACTTCACATACATATATAATTAATATTTTAATAAATACTTGTATTAAAATTATGTCCATGAAAGGGAATATGCACATGATACCCTATCGGATGGACACTTAGTTCAAAAATACATAATCTGTATTCCTGGATCTAAAATTTACCTCATTACCTAATCCATATTCCCGGATCTAAAACTAACCTCTTGATCTAATCCATACTCCCGAATCTATAAGAAGTTTATCTCTTTATCCTTTTATCTCATGATTCAAATAATCTTTTATCCCATACCAACAATCTCATCTACCCATGCTCTATCGAACATATTCGTAGATGAAAAATACGTATACAGTTTAACTCATTAAACCCTATATAATTTATCCATTCCACAATTATCTCAAATAAACAACAATAAATACACACATAACACCTATTTCATAGAAAATAATTAATATTTATGTGTAAGAAGAAAGTGACTATACAGTCACTTGATCAGAAGATGACCGGGCATGACTACGGCTTGTAGAAGTAATATTCTTCGGTGAAACTGTGATCTCTTCACACACCGGGCTTCTTGCGGGAAGAGCTTCGGATCGGAAACTCTTTTCTTCTCGGGATCTTCGGGCTACAGGACTTGCTTCGTTTCTCGGAATGAGAAGAGATTGAGCAACCAAACTCGGCTGCCCCTTGAATTCTATTTATAAGGCTGATTTTATGGATTCACGTCATGAATCTCAACTATTCACGTTGTGAGTTCAGTCGTCACTGCATGCGTCATCGCAAGTTGTGTCCGTCAGGCTCCAGAAGTCATAAATACTGTATTCACATCGTGAACTCTGATAGTTTTGGGGTTTCGCGCCCCGAACTTCAGAAATTCATAACATTAGCATACGAACTTCGTTTTCGACGTTCTTTATATCCACGCGTAGGTAAAAACAAGATCTACAACTTTCATTTAGACTTTGTCGGCTAATTTTGACTTTATTTTTAATATATAAATAATATATTATTTTTAGTAGGCCGGGACAGGAAAACTCCGTTTGAAATTCATAACTCCTTCATCTGAACTCCGTTTTTGTCTGTCTTTTTATCGTTGGACTACTATTGATGAGATATTCAATTCTCATTTAGAAAGTTTTGGCTAAATATCACTCGACCTCAATCTCGAGTTTCAGGCTGCATACTGCTAATGCTGAAACTTCGAAAAATCATAACTTCCTCATACGAAGTCAGATTTAGACGTTCTTTTGGTGTACGCTCTCGGTTTAACGTATTCTACGACTTTCATTTAGATCTCTAAAGCTAAATGTCACTCTAACGTAAATTCACTATTTACATCGCGCTGTGTCGTGCCGGTTCTTTCGCGAAACTTCAACATGTCATAACTTCTTCGTGATAATTCATTTCGGCGTTCTATATATGTACGGAATCCTTGTAACATATACTAAAACTTAGTTAAGATTACCCATTCTAAATAATCTTTCATCAAAAAAGTCATTTTTGATGCTTATCATCTCTAAATTGAATAGTCCATATCTACGGGCATTACATATGGCGAAGCTCTTGGAACTCACTCACCAATGGCCAAAGCTCCCAAAGCATGTCCAACCTACTCCCACCAATCATGGGCTCCATCCTTCAAAAGGAAAGATGTAAATCCTACTTTCAACCCCTCGAGGTAGAAACTCCTCCGCTGAGCATTCTCCATGTCATCGATCCATCTTCGGCAAGCAATAATTCAAGTACTTTGGTTCATATTAAAAACTAGAAAACTGAATGGAAACAAATCACCTCGGGTACTTTGGTTCATCTTGAAAACTAGTAGGTATAATTGTGCACTCTCAAGTGGATATTTATTCGTTATTCACCGATTCATAAATTGACTGGTTTCCGGGTTTAGACAAATAATCTTTTGATTTTTAAAACTTTTAATTGAATTGATCAAGTGAAATAATTATCCCAAAAATCAGTTTTCAATTCGTATTATGATTGATTTGAATTATTTGCATCAAAGATCACGAAGCTACTACATACTAATGATCATAATATGTATTTTTACTTATTAAAATTACAAACTTTACTATTTAACCCTAGGTTTTGATCAAATACTAGTCATACGAATTTATAATTCATAAAATCATATGATTCAAGAACATTAATCTAGATTGTTAATCTAAACCTAACAATACTCAACAATAGACATAAAGTATTGAAAC